AGTAGTCTCGTGAACAGCTGCGAGAAAGGCTAAGAGTTGTACACTTTATTTTGGATTGCTCTGAGCAGGTATATTTGGAGTTCTATGACTGTTGTAGGAAAGGGAATAGATGTGGGTTGCCAGTTAATGGTTTGCCACAAATGGCGGAGACTAGAGCACGCCCCTCAGTGTTATAGGAGTGTTGGACACACGGACCGCTGAGGAAGGCCTGGCCAGTGTCGCTATTGCTCAGTAAATATTAGCTCTTGTTACTGACGTTATTGTTCCTGGTAGAGCTGGAGTTTGGATCCAGGTGGAGGGATGGTGCAGAGGAAAGGCGGGAGCTGGGACTCCAGGCCCCCTCCTTGTTAGCAGGGGAGCTTGCTGCATTGTATTTCCCCTCAGGACTGTGGTGACAGTCAGCCCCTCTCACTGGATGACGGGGAAGCGCTCAAAGAACAAGTGTCTGCGGGTGCTTTGTGGTGCAGGCCTGTACAAGCGGCCATTGTCCCTGTATGTGAACGGGACCTGCATTCCGATCTGGGCTGCCAGGCTGTGGACGATGGCTGGGCCATGGCTGATGGCTGCTTTGAGGAGAAGGCTCTCATCGCAGTCTTGGGCTGAGATCAGAGGCTGTGGGGCGAGTGTCACTGAGGCCGCAGTAGATTGTGGCAGGCTGAATGAGCAAGTCCAGACGCAGTTGGTTTCTCTCTTTCTGATTTGTCCTTGGTGCTTGCTTTCTCTTCCTGTCTTCAGTCCCAAGTGGACTCCGGGTCTGTCATTGCTTCTGTCCTTGTCAACGTTCATTTTTAAACCGTGGTTTGGATAAAGAAGCAGCATCAGAATCCTATGTTCATATGGAAGTGAGAAGTAAACAGGTCTGTCTCCCACACCGGACTGTGACACCATGAGGGCAGGGCCAGGGCTGTCTCAGTTATTGGTATGCCCTAGCACAGGGCCTGCTTAACAGTTGAATGAATGAATGAATGAATGAGCAACTTCATGAACTCCTCTGACCCCATCTGACCCTAGAGACAGGATAATCCAGTGGTTAAGAATCGGTTTTGGGCAGGGTGCAGTGGTTCACGCCTATAATCCCAACACTTTTGGAGGCTGAGGCAGGTGGATCACCTGAGGTTGGAAGACAGCCTGACCAACATGAAGAAACCCTATCTCTACTAAGAATACAAAATTAGCTGGGTGTGGTGGCGAGTGTCTGTAATCCCAGCTATTCAGGAGGCTGAGGCAGGAGAATCGCTTGAACCCAGGAGGCAGAGGTTGCAGTGAGCCAAGATCGCACTATTGCACTCCAGCCTGGGCGACAGGGCGAGACTCTGTCTGGGCCGGTGGGGAGTCTGTCCTATGCTACAATATTGATGAACCCATAACATCCAGGGTGTTAGGCTAAGTGAAATGAGCCAGCCACAAAAAGACAGTATTGTATGATTCCACTTACAAGTACATAAATTAGTTAAACCTTGCCTGAGCCCAGGAGTTCCAGGCTGCAGTGAGTTATGATCACACTGCTTCACTCCAGCCTGAGTGACAGAGTGAGACTCCACCTCAAAGAAAGGAAGGAAAGGAGGGAGGGAGGGAAAGAGAAAGAGAGAAAAGAAAAGAAAAAAGAAAAAAAGGTGCTTACTTGGGCAGCACATACACTAAAATGGGAACGACACATAGATGAGTGCGGCCCCTGCACAAGGATGACACGAAAATTCTTGAAGCCTTCCATATTTTTGGTAAACAAAAAAAAAACTGAAAGAAAAGTCAAACCCTCAGAAAATACAGTGGTGGTTGACAGGGATGGGGGGAGGAGGAAAAGGGGAGTTCAGTTTGGTTTCAGTTTTGCAAGATTGAAAAAGTTGTAGAGCTCTATTGCACCTTAGGGTGCATATAGCTACTACTGTGGTACTGTCTATTTAAAAATGTTAAGATGGTCAATTTTATGGTATATGTTTTTTACTACAATTAAAAAATATTACTCTTGGCCAGGTGTGGTGGCTCACACCTATAATCCCAGCACTTTGGGAGGCTGAGGCAGGCAGATCACCTGAGGTCAGGAGTTGTGACCAGCCTGGCCAACATGGGGAAATCCTGTCTCTACTAAAAATACAAAAAATTAGCCAGGCGTGGTGGCACACGCCTGTAATCCCATCTACTCGGGAGGCTGAAACTCCCCAGGAGCGGAGGTTGCAGTGAGCCGAGGTCATGCCACTGCTCTCCAGCCTGGGCAACAGGAGCAAAACTCTGTCTCAAAACAAACAAACAAAGAAATTACTCTTAAATTAAGAATAAATAAATGAAAATTAAAAAGAAACAGATTTTGTAGTCAGGCCCGTCTGGGTCCACATCCTACTTCTGCTTATTCCTAGTGTTAGGCAGGTGGGCCCCATGGCTCTGAGCCTCAGTTTGCTCATCTGTAACATGGGCATAAGAATAGTACTTTTTGGCCAAATACAGTGGCTCATACCTTTAATCCCAGCACTTTGGGGGGCCGAGCCAGGCAGATCACAAGGTCAGGAGTTTGAGACCAGCCTGCCCAACATGGTAAAAACCCTGTCTCTACTAAAAATACAAAAATTAGCCAGGCATGGTGGCTCATGCCAGTAATCCCAGCTACTCCAGAGGCAGAGGCAGGAGAATCACTTTAACTTGCAAGGCAGAGAGGTTGCAGTGAGCTGAGATCACATCATTGCACTCCAGCCTGGGTGACAGAGCAAGACTGTCTCAAAAAAAGAATAGTACGTTTCTCACATGGTTGGGAAGTTCAAGTGAGTGTGCATAAAACAGTGGCTGGTCTTTAGCAGGGTTCACTGACTTTTCCAGATACTCCCAGCAGAGCCAGGCCCTGGACTCTAGGTGTTTACTCCCAGCTCAGTGCTTTTTCCTTTCTGTAAAGCTGACCCTGCCAGTAGCTTCCCCGTACCTGCCAAATTCTGTCCTACAGTGTCCCGTGAGTCCTGGCTGTGGGAACTAGGCATTTGGCCTGGAGCAGCCTCAGACGTGTGATGGGATCTTGGCCTTGGACTTGGCTGGCCTGTCCCAGGGCAGAGGGAGCTGAGTGCGCTGTGTGGCTCCAGTTGAGGAATCAGCTAAGGAGGCAGGCGAGGTGCAGGGTAAGGAGCTGGACTCCAGTAGCTCCACCTCGCTGGGCCTGTGGTCTGAGCGTTCCCAGACTCGGTTTCTCGAGGTGTGAAATGAGGGTGCCAGCAGCCTGGCACCTGGCGTGTAGTGAGTGCAGGGTTGAAACTAGCAGGGTATTAGCTGTGGTCCCTGGTGAGTGAATCAGTTCCTTACAGCCCAGGCTGCATCTGCTCATCTGCTGGCTGAGGGCTAGGGTGGGAGATGGAGACAGAGTGAGGGGTACAAGAGCTTGGAAACTTAGAGCTGATGTTTTTTCCTGAAGGGGCTCAGAGTCCTCATCTGTTAGTAAGGATTATTTCTCTCTTTCCTTCACTGGGTGTTGCCGAGCTCCTGCCATGGGCCAGGTCCAATTCTAGGCCCTAGGAATACAGTGGACAACAAAACAGAGCCCTGCCTCATGGGAGTTACGTTCTAGCGTGAGAGACAGGTGGTAGAAGAAGATCAGAGGAAAACAAGTGGAGTTAAGTGGGTAAATTGTGTGGTATGTGAATTACATCTCAATAAAGCCACAGAGTATAGGAGCTGGGATTGATAAGTGGGGAGCTATTTATTCGATTGATTATAGGGTCACCGAGGACGGCTTTTAGGAGGAGATCTGAAAGGAACAGGGGAGCAGCAAGCGCAGAGGTCCTGAGCAGAAGCGTGGGGCATGTCTGGAATGCCCAAGGAATGGTGTGAAGGCCAGTGTGCCTGGAACAGGGGAGGGGAGAAGTCAGAGAGGGATAGGCCAGTGCCTGTGAGGGCTGAGGGGGGCGGGGGACAGCCCGACAAGTTTCAGTACATTCCCTGGAGACAGAGCTGAGGGACAAGGCTGCCCAGTGGTCCAGGTGAGAGGGGATGCTGGCTGGACCAGGGTGGGGGTGGGGATGAGAAGTGACTGGACTCTGGGTATGTGTCTCTGGGAGCTCAAGTCAAGATTTCATGGACAGGACAGCAGCCGCTCCTACAGCTCTTGTAGGCTCCTCTGGGAGCACCCAGCGAGAGGTCAGCCAGGGCCCGGCTCTCTGGAAGCTCAGCGCTGGGAGCTGTAGCTGCCAGATTTTCTTCTTATCATGGCGTTGTTATGATGACTTGGACTTATGACCCCTGCATGCAGGCGTAGACCTGAGGGCTATCAACTTGGGACAGTCTTCCCTGTCTCAGTAGCTTTTTTTTTTTGGCTCATGCGTAAAAGTGGTAGGGACTTAGTGCCCTTTTTTTTTGGATTTTTTTTTTCCTTTTTGGTTGTTTTAAAAAACAGCATCATTGAGATACAGTTCACACAGTTCACTCATTGAAGGGTGTAATTCAGTGCTTTTCAAGATAGATTGTACAGATATCACCACAAGCAAATGTTAGAACATTTTCATTACCCCAAAAAGAAGCCCTGACCGGGCACAGTGGCTCATGTCTATAATCCCAGCACTTTGGGATGCTAAGGCAAATGGATCTCTTGAAGTCAGGAGTTCGAGACCAGCCTGGCCAACATGGTGACACCCAGGCTGTCCTAGCTACTTGGGAGGCTGAGGCAGGAGAATTGCTTGAACCTGAGAGGCGGAGGTTACAATGATCTGAGATTATGCCACTGCACCCCAGCCTGGGTGACAGAACCCAGCTAATTTTTTGTATTTTTAGCAGAGCCTGGGTTTTGCCATGTTGGCCAGGCTGGTGTCGAACTCCTGACCTCAGGTGATCCGCCTGCCTTGGCCTCCCAAAGTGCTGGGATTACAGGTGTGAGCCACTGCGCCTGGTTAATTCCCTTATTTCTAAAGGTTAGCAGGTTGGTTCACCTCTGAGGTATAGCCCACTTGACCTCAGAAGTGAGCTTGCTGCTAAGCTCAGTTGTGTGTGAGGGGGTGGGTTTTGGATGGTGACCTCAGTCCTGTTTGCTGCTGCAGAAGAAGGACCCAGCACAGTTCCTGCAGGTACATGGCCGAGCTTGCAAGGTACACCTGGATTCTGCAGTCGCCCTGGCCGCTGAGAGCCCCGTTAACATGTAAGACTGATACAGGAAGCAGGGGAGGGTCTGTGACTGAAGTTTGGGAGTCAGAAGGGACCCGGGGTGGTGAAGAATCTGGAGCAGAGTCTGAAGTATGGACAGATGTTTGGGGACTCAGGCAGGGAAGGCGTGACCTGCATGTGAAGGTGATAGTCACAGGGTGTAAGAACAATGGAGGCCCCAGAGTAGCAGTCGTGGATGGAGGACTTAGAAATGGGTGGAGCCAGGGCTAGAGGCCCAGAGGAAGCAGAGAGTAGGTTGCCAGTGGGGGCTGTCTCAGGGTGCCTAGGGCCCTCACATACCCACTAGGACCTGGTTCAAGTGCCCCACTATTGCTTGGTTCTGAGAAATGGGGCCCTGGTGTCCCCAGGGGCAGTCAGATGACTGGCCTATTTCAGGTCCCAGGAGCCTGAATGTGGAGTCAGGGAAACTTGCAACAGAGGGACCGAGAGCGGGGGGGGTGAGGCGAGGGCCGTGGCAGGGGGACCAGAGTGGGCTGAGGGCCAGGCTTCCAAGCCTCAGCTGGCAGGGAGCAAGCACTGGGTCCTGGGCAGTGTGGACCCTGAGGTTCTTGCTTTCCTGCTCCCCTCCCACTTCAGGATGCCCTGGCAGGGGGACACCAACAACATGATCGATCGCTTCGATGTCCGTGCCCACCTGGATCACATCCCCGACTACAACCCCCCGCTGCTCACCACCATGTAAGCCACCTCCCAGGGGGTTGCCAGGCACGGCACCACGTCATACCCAAAAGCCCCTGTTCTTTTCCCAGCCTGCCTGTCACCTTCCTAGGAGCCCTTCCTATTTGGTACCGCCCTCAGCCTGAGCAGGACACCTCATTTCCCTTCCTGCTGATTTGGGGTGGGATCTACCTATTCCCCCTGATTTCAAGGTCTTGCCCTCCCCCAAAGCTCCCCAGAACAGGAGTCGGACGAACGGAAGTGTAACTACGAGCGCTACCGAGGTCTGGTGCAGAACGACTTTGCCGGCAGTGAGTGATCTGCAGGGGGACATGGGATGTGGGGCTTGGGGGCCCTGGAGCCTGGAAGACCTAGATAAATTTGGGAAGAAAAGTTTTATCCATATACTTTCTGCTAGAGGGCCTTGGGTTCCTGCTCCAGCTCTGTGATAGACTCACTTTGCCTGCGTCTCTTTACCCTCGGGGCCTCCATCTCTGGATTTGGTATAGGGGACATCTGCCCAATCGGTTATTCCTGGCAGGGTCACTTCCATGTACTATGCCTTCTGACCCTGTGGTCTTTTTTCCTTTAAAAAATAGAAAAAATAGCAAGAATACTTTTTTTTTTCTTTTTGAGAGACAGAGTTCACTTTTGTTGCCCAGGCTGGAGTGCAATGGTGTGATCTCGGCTCCCCGTAACCTCAGCCTCCCAGGTTCAAGCAATTCTCTTGCTTCAGCCTCCCAAGTAACTGAGATTACAGGTGTCCGCCAGCACGCCTAGCTAATTTTGTATTTTTTTAGTGAAGATGGGGTTTCTCTATGTTGGTCAGGCTGGTCTTGAACTCCCGACCTCAGGTGACCCACTCACGTCAGCCTCCCAGAGTGCTGGGTTTGCAGCCGTGAGCTACCGTGTCTGGCCCAAGAATACATTTTTTAAAACATTTATAAAGATGGGGTCTCACTGTATTGTCCAGGTTGGTCTGGAACTCCTGGGCTCACGTGGTACTCCACCTTGTCCTCCAAAAGTGCTGGGATTATAGACATGAACCACCATGCCCAGCCAAGAACACAATTTTTTTTTTTTTGAGACGGAGTCTTGCTCTGTTGCCCAGGCTGGAGTACAGTGGCGCGATCTCAGCTCATTGCAATCTCTGACTCCCAGGTTTAAGCAATTTTCCTGCTTCAGCCTTCTGAGTAGCTGGGACTACAGGCACATGCCACCACATCTGGCTTATTTTTTTTTTGTATTTTTAGTACAAATGGAGTTTCACCGTGTTAGCCAGGATGGTCTCGGTCTCCTGACCTCGTGATCCGCCTGCCTGGCCTCCCAACGTGCTGGGATTATAGGCTGAAGCACCCTGCCCAGCCTAAGAACACATTTTTTTACCTCTGTGTGTTTTCCTCTGCCTGCACAGATCAAATTGTCAGCTCTGAAGAGGAAATTTCTCCTTGATTTAAATGAATATTTGACAGCATTTGACAATTTACCAAGTGTTCGTGTATGTCCAGGAATTTTCTCCCAGCTTTATCACCATTGTCAGTTTCCAAATGAGAAAACAGGTGCTCAGGGAAACTTCTCTCTGCTCTGGTCCTGCCCAGGGAGGTTTGGACCCAGACAGACCTGGGCTTTTTTGTCTCTATTATCTCATTACATCTGTACAACCACCTATCAAAGTAGGGGTGATACCCTGTTTTTGTTTTTGTTTTTGTTTTTGTTTTTTGAGACGGAGTCTCACTCTGTCACCCAGGCTGGTGTGCAGTGGAGCAGTCTCGGCTCACTGCAACCTCTGCCTCCCGTGTTCAAGCAAGTCTCCTGCCTCAGCCTCCCAAGTAGCTGGGATTACAGGCACCTGCCACTTCGCCTGGCTAATTTTGGTAGTTTTAGTAGAGATGGGGTTTCATCATCTTGGCCAGGCTGGTCTTGAACTCCTGACCTCATGATCTGCCTGCCTCGGCCTCCCAGAGTGCTAGGATTACAGGCATGAGCCACTGTGCCCAGCTGTCACACCATTTTACAGACAAGGACATGGAGGGGGAACACCCTCTCCAAGGAGCTGGGATTTTCCACGTGCATTTAACTGCAGCTCTCTCCTGATGGAAAACTCCTAACTCACCTACCAAGAAGGACTTGAGATTCCTTCCTTGGGGTTCCCTGTGGAGTTAAGGGAAGGATGGAGTTCTCTGCTTGGTTTGTCCCTTACCACCTGGTGGTCTGTTTCCTCCTTGAGAAGGGTGGTGATGATTTTGTCGCAGGGATGGTTGTGAGAGTTGAGTGAGGTGATGTGTATACAATTACAGCACTTAGCCTGGCACAGCTGACCCTCCATATGGGTTTGCTAGTCCAGTATGTGTTTATTTCTAAGATAGATGCTGTTTTGTTTTCTAAAATCAGAGGTTGCTAAAATTCTAACCATCACCGAGGCCTTAGAATCAGGGAAATTTGTTATTGATACCATTTTTGCCATCATTCCAGGCCATGTGGATTCTTGATGGTAGAGCCAGGGTTCCCCTTAGTTTCATCTCAGTCTGCGTTCATTCATTCATTCACTCACTCATTCACTTCCACACACAGTAATTGAGCACCTGTGGTGAGCACCTGTGGTGCTACTCTGGGGTCAGTGGCATGGTAGGGGAGAGGGCAGCAACTCCATACTCACTCTCAGTGCCGACGACTGCAAACCAAGGTGATATGACAGACAGCGTGCCATTCCCTGAGAAACAGGACAAAAGTCCTGGTCTGAGGCTGAATAGTAGCTCCCTGGGAGGCGCGGATAGGCCACAGGATTCCAGGCCAGGAGTAGCCTCTGCAGAGCCCTGTGTGGGGCAGGACTGTGGGCACACTGGAGGGGTAGAGAGAAGGTCCATGCAGCTAGAGCAGGGAGAGCGAGAGCGAGAGAGCTTGTGTGAGACAGGGTCAGCAGTGCCTCCCCTGGGCTTTGGAGATGATGAGTAGAAATTGAGGTATCTGCCAGAGCAAGGAAGGGCCATTCTGCATCCGTTTCTGGCCTGCCAGCCCGCCCACCTCTGGTTCCAGATAGAAAAGCTGAGGCCCAGGAAGGGAGGGAGGGAAGGAGGAAAAAAAGGAAGAAAGGGAGGAAGGGGACTCACCCAGAGTCCCACAGCGAGTCAGAGACATGTGTCTCAATGCAGGGAAGATCAGGGAGGCTCTGGTACAGTGTTGAGCCCCCCAAGCTGGGTGTTGCGGGGTGCAGGAGAGCCCAGGTCATCCCAGCCCACACCCAGCTTAAACCGAGCCACAGAGGGGCACGCAAGGGAATGAACTGTGCAGTCAGAATGGCATGTGGCACTGGGTTATGGTTCTGAAGGGTCCAACCTGAGGCCTCCAGAAACAGTGAGAATGATGGTAGAGTGCCCACATAGAAGGCACTCACTCTGCCTGTGGTTCCATTTTGTGAAAAAGGAAACCGAGGCACAGATGTGTTCAGTCACTTGACCAAGGTCGTGTATCCAGTGAGTGGTGTGTCCAGGGCTCAAAGGAAACCAAGGCACAGATGTGTTCAGTCACTTGTTCAAGGTCGTGTATCCAGTGAGTGGTGTGTCCAGGGCTCAAAGGAAACCGAGGCACAGATGTGTTCAGTCACTTGACCAAGGTCGTGTGTCCAGTGAGTGGTGTGTCCAGGGCTCAAAGGAAACCGAGGCACAGATGTATTCAGTCACTTGACCAAGGTCGTGTGTCCAGTGAGTGGTGTGTCCAGGGCTCTGCTGTAGTTGCCTGCGTCCTACCAGGCACAGTTTGATTATCTGGAAGTGGTGACTGCCCCCAGCGGCATGGGGGTTGCACCCATCTTCCTGCCCCACCGCACCCTTGTGTTTCCCCGCTGAATTCCTAGGGTCCCCCACCCACTCTGACCCAGGGCCTCTTGTTTGCTGCAGTCTCAGAGGAGCAGTGCCTGTACCAGATCTACATTGATGAGTTGTACGGAGGCCTCCAGAGACCCAGTGAAGATGAGAAGAAGAAGTAAGTCAGGGTCTGGGGTGCAGGGCGTTGGGGAGGCAGGAGGCTGCGAGCCCCAGCCAGGCCTGGCCTCTTGCATCCTGTCCACCAGGGCCTCCACAGAACCGAGGATGGTGCTCAGCACACAGTCAGTGCTCAATTAATAACTGTGTAGAGGAGGAAGCCCTACCAGGCGGCCCGGGCTTCCTGAGAGCGCTGCCTTGCATTCTCAGCTTGGGGAGTGGGGGAGGTGCAGGCCCTGTGGTGAGACAGTCCTGCGTGTGAATCCTGCCTGTGAGGCTTTGAGTGGAATCCTCTCAGCCTTGCCGTGCTGCCCTGTAAAGTGGGGTTGGCCGGAGTCCCCACTGCCTGGAGTTGGGAGGAGTGCAGGAGGCGCAGCTTGTGAAGTACCTGTCCCAGCGGTGTAGTGAGCTTGCAGACAGCCCTAGCTGATGTCACTCTGGAGAGAGGCTTCTCAAAGCTGTGTCCCTCAAGGAGTGTCTGGGGAGACCAGGCCTTATCCTGGAGCAGCTGCCTCTGAGTCTGTCGTCTCTCTCTCCACCTCAGTCTGATGAGCGCAGGTCCCCTGCCCTCACACACGCTGTTCCTCTGCAGGGCTTAGCGCTCCTCCTCCAGGCCAGCTGCTGTTGCACCGGTGCACAGTAGCCTGCAGCCCTGCTCGGGGCTGGGCGGCCCCCTCAGTGATGCCTTCCCTCCTGCTCCCCCTGACTGCTGGCCGCCTTCCTCCACTGGGAGGGGTCCCGCGGGACTGGACTGGGAGCTTCTTGGAGACTTTGACCCTTGTCCTCGGCCCCAGCTTCAGGATCCTGCTCAGGCCCCTTGGGCCCTGCTCTATTCAGAGCAAAGCTGGGGCACCTGTCCTCTCAGGAGGACTCTGGGCTGTGCCCTCGTGGGGCTCATGGTATAGGTGGGAGACAGATGGTCCCCAACAGAGATGACCCAACGAAGGCAGGGCTGGGGAGCTCAGGATGGTGCCCCCCCACCCTAGGGTATGAGTCTAGGACTTCTTGGCAGGTGGGGCCCTGGAGCTCAGATGTGGAGGAAGAGGGAGGAGCTGGGTATGGGCAGGAGCAGAGGGTCCTAGGCTGAGGGAGAGCCTGAGGAGAGGGCCGTGGCACTTGAGAGGCCGGACTGGGGCCCTCGTCTCCTCTGGACAGGGCCCTGGCTCAGCAGCTCTCCCATCCCAGGCTGGCAGAGAAGAAGGCTTCCATCGGTTACACCTACGAGGACAGCACGGTGGCCGAAGTAGAGAAGGCGGCAGAAAAGCCAGAGGAGGAGGAGTCACCGGCCGAGGAGGAGAGCAACTCGGACGAAGATGAGGTCATCCCCGACATCGGTGGGGTCCCCTCTCTGCCCTCCCCACCTGCAGTCCCTGGGCATCGTTTTTGTGTCTCGTCTGTCACCCTTTGTGGGGCACCCCGCACTTAGGAGCCATGTCTCTCTCCCTCTCCCGCCCCAGGGCACCCAGTCTCCTGCCACCTCTGTCTCACTTCACTCCCGACCTCCTCTGTTCCCGCCTTCCTCTGTCTCACTCATCTTATTTCTAGGGCACTGTTTCTGTGATCTTTTCCCCTCCTAGGTGTGGGCTCCGTTCTCCTCCACCTGGGCCGGCCTCTGCCTCTGCCTCTGCCTCTCTTTCCTGCTTTCTTCCCTCCTCTGGAAAACAAGTGTTCACCCTCTTACAGAGTCATCCCTCATCCCTTGGGCATCTGTTTGCCCATCCCTCCCCCTATCTGCCACTCACCTCCCCTCTGGATTCCCATTGATCAAACCACCCCCCCAGTCTCTTGGTTTTTCTCATCCTGGCTGTCACTGCAGCAGCCGGCTGTTTATTCACACTGCAGAGCCGCACATTGACCTCCGCCCAGCCCTCCTTCCGCCGGCCAACCATGTGCCCTGCTCCCCTGCCTGCTGAGTGATCTTCAGCTGCCATCTGTCTGCCCGTGTTCACCCCTCCCTCTCACGTCAGCCCTGCCACACACGTCTCACTCATCCATTCCTCCCTCCTTTCGTCCACCCATCCCTCTCTCCCTCCCTCCCTCCCTCCATTTCACCCATCCCTTCTGTCCTCCATCTGTCCCTCCACCCAGCCATCCATCTCTCCTTCCCTCTTTCCCTCCCTCCGTCCATCTGCCCCTTCCAAGCCCTGTCCCCCAGCTGCCTCCATCCACCGTGTATTGTGCTCACCTCTGGCCAAGCCCTGTGCCAGCCTAGGGGATGCCAAGATGAGCCAGAACCGATGCCATCCCTCCCTGAAGATTCCTACAGTCTGGCAGGCGCCCCATCCACCTCGACCTCCCGGGGCGCTGGCCCTTCATCCCTGTCCTCTCACCTGGCCGTGGCTCCTGACAGCCTTTCTCTTGGTGCAGACGTGGAGGTGGACGTGGATGAACTGAACCAGGAGCAGGTGGCAGATCTCAACAAACAGGCCACTACTTATGGCATGGCCGACGGCGACTTCGTCAGGTGAGGCCTGCCTGCTGACACCCTTCCCCACTTTGTAGGTCCCACCCTGGCATCTGTTACCCTCAGTACTGACAGCCAGACTCGTTGTGAGCACTTGTCTGCCTAGCCCTGGGCCCAGGACTTTACACGTGCAGGTCCCTGAGCCTATGGTGGTCGTGGGACCACTTCATCTGCAGAAACAGGCTGCACTCAAAATCACCCAGCCTGCCCTACCTAGTGTGACCTGGAGTGAATCTGACCCTTTGACGCTCAGGGGATTCCTAGGCTGGGGGACAGCGACCTCTAGTGGAGAGTCTTTGTTTTCTGGCCATTCATCCCAGCAGTTGCTGGTCGTACCTCTACCCTGAGCCACACCCCTTTCTGAGCTCACAAGACCACACAGGATGGTCCCAGCTCACTGGGCAATGAACCAGAAACCAAGCCTGAGCACGGCACCCTCTGCCCAGAGCCCTTTACAGCTCCCACCTCCCTCAGGAGCATCTGGTGTCCTCACCACGGCTGTAAGGTCTTACCCATCTGGTCCTCTTGACCGCCCCAACCCCCTGTCCAGCCTCCATGCCTCCTTGCTCCTCAGGTGCAGAGGCCTGGGCCGGCCCCTGGGCCACTCTGGCTGCTATGTGCTTCGGGCGTCTTCAGCTTGCTCTCCCAGGCTTCTCTCCAGATGTCCTGTTCTGTGTGGCTCCCCTGAGCTCCCTCTTGAAAAGTGCAGCTTCCTCTGCCTTTACTGTCTCATAGACCATGCATTTTATTCCCTTGCTCATGATCTTCCCCCCTAGAGTGTAAGCCCCTGCAGGTGAGGATTTGTTTTTTTTCAGTTCTGATTTTTTTTTTTCATGTACCAAGAACCTAGTTTTAGCTGATTCAGTTCTGATTTCTTGATACCTAAAATAGCACCTGGCACCCAGAGGGTGCTCGATGAGTTGCGCTGAATGAAAGACACCTCAGGCTGGCGTGTGGTGACTTGGGTCCCTCATTTTTTTTGATGAGTCAGCTTGTGTCCTTACCTTGTGGCCTGCCCCTCCTCCATTGTGATTCTCACCCCTCCATAGGATGCTTCGGAAAGACAAAGAGGAGGCAGAGGCCATCAAGCATGCCAAGGCCCTTGAGGAGGAGAAGGCCATGTACTCGGTGAGGGCTGGGCTGGAGTGGAAGGGGACAGGGGTGTGTCTCAGGGAGGGCACTCCCCACCAGCCTGGCACCCGCCGTTCTCTAGGGACGCCGGTCTCGACGCCAGCGGAGAGAGTTTCGGGAGAAGCGGCTGAGGGGTCGCAAGATCAGCCCACCCAGGTAGGGCTTCTCTCTCAGCCCCCACCCTGCTGGCATCTGGGGGCGGGGTGCAGTGGCTTAGGGCCTGAGAATACTCTTTGGAGGGAAGTGAAGGAGTCTTCCCAGCGGGGCAATACGTGGCCTGCGTGAAGGTTTAGAGGTAGGGACAACCTTGAGCGTCACGTGGATTCCTTTCCTTGCCCTCCCCTCACCCCGCTGGACTGGGGGCCCTTGCCAGACTCCCAGGAGCCCATGCACAGGCAGCATGAGGTGATCTCCGGGTGGCAGAGGAGCTGAGGGCAGTGCAGAGGGCACAGGCCTTGCCCTGGACTCTCAACCAGTTCTGCTGCGTGGCCACTTCCTGTGTTGGAGTTTGGACAAGTGATTTCCCGAACACTCTGAGCTTCACTTTCTTCCTTTGAAAAATGAGGCATTATCACCTACCAGGAGAGAGAGCTGGGGCAGTCCCCTTGGGGAGGTCTTGGGTCAGGTTTGGATGAGGTAGTCTGGCTTGGAGCAGAGAGCCCAGCCTGGGTTGGGAGTCCTTGAGGAAAGTCCCCATGCAAAGCCATGCCTCTTTTTGCCACATCTCTTAAAGGACAGGGATTGAGAGTTCTTGTAAGGCTAAAATGACTTGTAGGTTCAGGGGTTGGCATGGGAAAGATCCCTTAAAGAGTACCACTGATTGTCGCTGCCATTAGTGCTGGCACAGAGGCACACGTAGGGTAGGCAGGAAAGTCCAGACTGGGTACCTGTAGGGCCTGGGTTTGGATCCTGGTTTCTTCATTGATGAGCTGTGTGATGATGGACAAGTGACTTCACATCTCTGGGCCTCAGTTTCCTCAGCTGATAAGTCTTTTTTTTGTTGTTGTTCTGTCACCCAGGCTGGAGTGCAGTGGTGCAATCACAACTCACTGCAACCTCAAACTGCTGGGCTCAGGTGATCCTCCTACCTCAGTCTCCTGAGTAGCTGAGACTACTGGCATGCATCACCACACCCAGATAATTAAAATAAAAAGTATTTTGTGGAGACGGGATCTTGCCATGTTGCCCAGGCTGGTCTCAAACTCCTGGGCTCGAGTGATCCTCCCACCTCAGCCTCCTGTAGTACTGGGATTACAGGCGTGAGCCACCGTACCCAGCCTATTTTAGTCTTACCATCATCTTCATCATCATTAGTAAGTCTGGATCCAGTGAGAGCCAGAGATGAGGAACAGGAGGAGGGATGCTTTCACTCTAGGGACAGGAGGCCAAGCAGAACCAGGGCTGCTGAAGTCCAAGTTCCTCAGAGTCATGATGGGTCTGGGACATTGTGGGGCGGGGCCTAATAAGTTCATGCTTTGGACAGATCTGAGGTGGGGTTGGGTGGAGCACTCAAGGTAAGGCCCCCAACCTGGTCAGCAGCCCCCCTCACTGTGCCAGGTACCTAGCATTGGGTCTTCAGGTTGAGAGGCTTATCCCAAATTCATACCTGCCGAGATCTTAAGCGCCAACTTGTCCCATCCCATTCTTCTCTCTGTAGCTATGCCCGCCGAGACAGCCCCACCTATGACCCCTATAAGCGGTAAGTCCTCCAGAGGACCAGGGAGTAGCAACCAGGGAGCCCCCTGGTGGGGGACAGGGGCGCTGAGGAGGGTGGGAGGTTCACCCACCTAGGCCACCCCAAGGTCACAGACTGCATGTGTTCTGGGTCTGAATCATTTTTGTGTTTTCCAGATCATTGTCTTATTTTCCCAGTTTTAAATAAAATTTTGTTTATAGTTGAAGCTTATTTTATTTTTCTGATTTAAATACAATGCAGTCTTGTGGTAAAAATGTCCAAACATGGCAAAATGGGGTGACTGAGAAATCAAATCACTTTAATACTAATTTCCGGAAGTGACCAGTGGGAAATAACGGACACTCAGTAGCACCGCTGAGCATAGGTGCTTGTCTGGTGGGTGAACGAGTGGTTGGAGCAGGGATTTTGAGAGGGACCAAGCTCGGTTTGATCCCAGTCCCCCTCATCCAAGCTCCGAAGCTCTCTGAAGCCCAGTTCCCGCTTCAGAATGGGGGGGGATGGGATCTGTCTGATGGGGCTGTGGGCAGAGGTTTGATGAGATAAGGCGTGAATAGCTTTTGGTGAAATAAAAGGTGTAGGTTAGTACTCCATACATGGGAGTGTCAGGGATATCAGGTACCTTCTATTTTTTAAATTTTATTTATTAAAAACTTTTTTTTTCTTTGAAAAAATTAAGATAGGGTCTCACTATGTTGACCAGGTTGGTTTTGAACTCTTGGACTCAAGCAATCCTCCCACCTGGGCCTCCTCCCAAAGTGCTGGGATTACAGGCGTGAGCCACCAGGCCTGGCCACTTTCTTTTTATTTTACTAAAATGGAATTGTACCATACTTAGTATTTTAGAACTTGCTTTTTCTTTTTTTTTCTTTTTTTTTTTTTTGAGACGGAGTTTTGCTCTTGTTACCCAGGCTAGAGTGCAATGGCGCGATCTTGGCTCACCGCAACCTCCACCTCCTGGGTTCAGGCAATTCTCCTGCCTCAGCCTCCTGAGTAGCTGGGATTACAGGCACGCACCACCATGCCCAGCTAATGTTTTGTATTTTTGTGTAGAGACGGGGTTTCACCATGTTGACCAGGATGGTCTCGATCTCTTGACCTCGTGATCCACCCGCCTCGGCCTCCCAAAGTGCTGGGATTACAGGCTTGAGCTACCGCGCCCGGCCAGAACTTGCTTTTTCTTCCCAGACTATCCATATATCTTTTGAATAAAACTTTTCTGTTTAGTACAGAGATCTGCTTTTTTTTAGATGGAGTCTTGCTCTGTTGCCCAGGCTGGAGTGCAGTGGTGCACTCTGGGCTCACTGCAACTTCTGTCTCCTGGGTTCAAGCAATTCTCGTGCCCTCAGCCTCCTGAGTAGCTGGGATTACAGGCATGTGCCACCATGCCTGGCTAAATTTTTTTTTTTTTGTAGAGATGGGGGTTTTGGCCAGGCTGGTCTTGAACTCCTAGTCTCAAGTTATTGGCATTCCTTGGCCTCACAGAGAGCTGGGATTATAGGTGTGAGTCGCCACGCCCGACCTGCTCGTTCGTTTTTCATAGCCACATAAAGAACAGTTGTCTGTCATTGTCCTTCCTGGTTATTTAGCCAAGGCTGTGTGGTCGTAAGCCAAGTCCTTGTCCGGAGCTGGGTCTCCACTGCCCTTTAGGCTCAATCCACCCGCCTGGCTTCCGGGGTCGCTGTGGCCCGTGCTGGCGCTGCTGTAGCTCTGCTGTGCGTGCTGTTCACCGAGGGGCTCAGGGAGCCTGGGCGAGTGAGCCTTTCTCCTCCCTGCCCATAGGTCGCCCTCGGAGTCCAGCTCGGAGTCCCGCTCCCGCTCCCGCTCCCCCACCCCTGGCCGTGAGGAGAAGATCACGTTCATCACCAGTTTTGGGGGCAGCGATGAGGAGGCAGCCGCAGCCGCTGCTGCCGCAGCTGCATCAGGGGTCGCCACAGGGAAGCCCCCCGCACCCCCCCAGCCTGGCGGCCCTACCCCGGGACGTAATGCCAACGCCCGGTCGGTAACGCTCACGCCGCCCGCCCTATGCCCTGGCCACCATGGGGGGGACACGGGGCAGAGGGGGGCCGCAGCTCAGGCCTGCGCTGACCGGCCCTCCGTGCTCTGCCTGCAGCCGCCGCTCCTCCTCCTCCTCCTCCTCTTCCGCCTCGAGGACCTCCAGCTCCCGCTCCAGCTCTCGTTCCAGCTCTCGCTCGCGCCGTGGCGGGGGCTACTACCGTTCAGGCCGCCACGCCCGCTCCCGGTCCCGCTCCTGGTCCCGCTCCCGCTCCCGGTCCCGCCGCTATTCCCGGTCCCGCAGCCGTGGCCGACGGCACTCAGGTGGGGGCTCCCGAGATGGACACCGCTACTCCCGCTCGCCCGCCAGGCGTGGTGGTTACGGTCCCCGTCGCAGAAGCAGGTGTGTGCAGCTAGGCATGGAGGCGGGAGGGGCTGGGGCCACGGGCTCCGATCTCGGGGAGAGGTGCTCAGAGGAGGAAAACCTGACCACCCAGCTCAGAGAACACCCGGTCCGAGGGGACAGGCACAGGCCACTGCTCTCTACAGGAAGCCCTTGGGTAGGAGGAGGGAGGCATGGGTGCGCCTGTTCTGTTCTGTGCATGCGCATCCTAGTGGCAGTGGAGCCCAGGCACTGTTTTCCAGCACAGGGTGTGGAGAGGAGACTGCACCTCTCTCTCCTGAGAGATTCTGTCTTTGCTGTCAGGGGTTCCAACCTGAGGGGAGTAGAAGTGCATGGATGCTCCAGGTTATTCTGTAGCTTGCAGTGAGCGGCCTGGGTCTTGAGGGCTAGGAAACCCTGCGGGGAGGCGTCCTTGTGTGGCCAGGAGTGGATGGGGAAGCAGGTGGGAAAAATAAAGACAGCTCATTGACCGGTGGAGGTGGCTCACGCCTGTAATCCCAGCACTTTGGAGGCCAAGGCGGGCAGATCACCTGAGCTCAGGAGTTGGAGACCACCCTGGGCAACATGGTGAAACCCTGTCTTTACTAAAATAGAAAAAGTTAGCCAGGCATGGTGGTGTGCGCCTGTAGTCCCAGCTACCTGGAAGGCTGAGACACGAGAATCACATGCACCCCAGAAGCTGAGGTTGCAGTGAGCCAAGATGGGGCCACTCTATCCCCTTCCAGTCCCCTTGCCTGTGCAGGTCAGGGCTGGTCTGGGAAAAGCAGCAAGGCTGGGTTGGTGGGAGCATGGACTCCGGGGCACCTGCCTGAGTGTAGACTCCCTGGGTCTCTTTGCTTCTGTAAAATTGCAATAATAGCATCCACTTCTCTGGGCTGTTAGAGGTACAACAGGTAAACCCATGTAAGGTACTTAGGACAGGGCTGGTGCTGGCTAAATGCTGCTAATGTCGTCTGCATCATTGCTTGCGTTATTGTAGCAGGGATCACCGTGTCCGCTGCTGCATGGTCTGGCAGGTCAGGCCGAGGGGCCAGGTAGAGACTGTTATGACCTGGCAAGCACGTGTTCCCTCCAGAGGGGCAGTGACTGCTCAGCAGCAGGTCTTGGGTCACCCAGTCTTTCTAGTTATCAAGAGAAGTTGAGGGTCTGAATTTTTAGAGGATAGCTCTTGTTTTCTTTTCTTTTCTTTCTCTTTTCTTTTCTTTCTTTTTTTTTTTTTTTGGAGACAGAGTGTTGCTGTGTCACCCAGGCTGGAGTGCAGTGGCATGATCTTGGCTCATTGCAACCAACTTCTGCCTCCTGGGTTCCAGCTTTTCTCCTGCCTCAGCTTCCCAGGTAGCTGGGACTACAGGCGCCCACCACCACAACTCGCTAATTTTTGTATTTTTAGTAGAGATGGGGTTTTACTGTGTTGGCTAGACTGGTCTCAAACTCCTGACCTTGTGATCTGTCCACCTTGGCCTCCCAAAGTGCTGGGATTATAGGCGTGAGCCACGGCGCCCAACCCTTGTTTTCTTAATAATGACAACAAATCTTAATTTTATAAAAACAATACAAAAATTAGCCTGGCGTGGTGGTGCACGTCTGTAATCCCAGCTACTCAGGAAGCTGAGGCAGGAGAATTGCTTGAATCCAGGAGGCTGAGGTTGCAGTGAGCTGTGATTGCACTGCACTCCAGCCTGGGCAACAGATAGAGACTCCGTCTCAAAAAAAACTCAAGAGAACCCAAGCAAAGTCAGTGTGTGACCCAGAAAATTGGCTTCCGGGTCATACATTCCTTGTAACATACCCAGAGCAATGACAGGAGAAAGGTTTGAGGGGGCAGGTGGGGCCCGGGCATATCTTGAATGCCAGTCTGAGAGTGGGCGCTGCTGGCTGGAGAGTCCCACCAGGGTTCTTAGCAGGGAAGGGATGGGGTTCCACATCCTCAGGCTGGAACTTGTGGGTCTGTGCTGAGACTGGTGGAGGACAAGGGGTGGTCCCCACTGCTTTCGAGACCCTCGACACCAGCAGCATGAGGAGGTGGGTGAGGGTGTAGGTGAGGTCACCCTGAAACACTGTTGTGCCTGAGCTGGGCACAGCTCATAAAGGGGAGCCAGCCATCCCTCCCAGGGCTCACCTTCTAGGAGTTGGCAAGTGGGTGTCTGGTGAGGGAGAGGTGACACACACCAGGCACAGCTCATGATGGCAGGACTGCCCTTAGGTCTGTCGTATCTAGAGCACCGTCTCTGTAGCAGGAGGCCAGAGTGCAGCGCTGGGGCTTTCCAAGGGAGAGTAGCAGGAGAGGAGAGTCAAGCCTGTCACCCCAGGCCTTGCAGGAGGACTGTGGACCTGGAGCCCGGGTGGAGTGCGGTTGGGAATCCTGGAGTCTCACCATCCTCCTCCCGCCCTGCTGCATCCGCAGGAGCCACTCCCACTCAGGGGACCGCTACAGGCGTGGCGGCCGGGGCCTCAGGCACCACAGCAGTAGCCACAGCCGCAGCAGCTGGTCCCTCAGCCCATCCCGCAGTCGCAGCGTGACCCGCAGCCGCAGCCACAGCCCCAGCCCCAGCCAGAGCCGCAGCCGGAGCCGCAGCCGGAGCCGCAGCCAGAGCCCCTCGCCATCACCCGCAAGAGAGAAGCTGACCAGGCCGGCGGCGTCCCCTGCTGTGGGCGAGAAGCTGAAAAAGTGAGCAGGGCGGGTCTGGAGGAAGAGGGCTGCCTACCTTGGGTGGGAGGGTGAATGTCACCGTTTTCTTTATGAGGGGAACTTAGTCCTACCCCAGGAGGCCTGGGGGTGAGGCATGGCCCTGGCCTGGGAGGGTGGATTTCAGGGGGTCACAGCCCTGGCCTGGGGGGTCTGAAGAGGACGCATCAAATGCTGGAGGATCTGCAGAGTAAGAACCTTTTCCTGGCCGGGCGCGGTGGCTCAAGCCTGTAATCCCAGCACTTTGGGAGGCCGAGGCGGGTGGATCACAAGGTCAAGAGATCAAGACCATCCTGGTCAACATGGTGAAACCCCGTCTCTACTAAAACTACAAAAAATTAGCTGGGCATGGTGGCGCGTGCCTGTAGTCCCAGCTACTCCGGAGGCTGAGGCAGGAGAATTGCCTGAACCCAGGAGGCGGAGGTTGCAGTGAGCCGAGGTCGTGCCATTGCACTCCAGCCTGGGTAACATAAGTGAAACTCCTTCTCAAAAAAAAAAAAAAAGAACCTTTTCCTGGGTGAGGGTCAGAGGGGGACAGGGCCCCGTCTTGCAGACGCTGTGGGGTCTGAGAGGGACATGGTCGCACCCCGGGGGTTCTGAGGCCCATGCCTTGGCCGCCTGGTCTGAGGGCAGTGCTGAGGCTGGGGTCAGAGGTGGCAGCTGCCCATTCCTCCTCCGAACTGTGTCCTCTGGCCCTGCCCCCACTCAGGACCGAACCTGCCGCTGGTAAAGAGACAGGAGCTGCCAAAGTCAGTAAGAATTTGGAACTCGCCCGTCTAATTCCCGTCAGCAGCAGTGCCCGAGAGCTGGGCCCGGTGGGCCTGCAGGGGGGCCCGGGTGGGCTGGGAGATCCAGCCCCAGGGACTGGGAGGGGTGGGGAAGGGTCTGCCCCCATGAGAACCATGTCCCCTCCCCTCCTCACTGTACACTGGGGCTCCACCTGTCGCTGAGCCTCTGGGAGCCTGGGGGCTGGCTGTCCACAGTTTGCCCCTCCTCCTCATGTCATCCCTCCCCTCCCCAAAGCCCTAGGCTCTTGGCTGAGGTGGGTTGTGGGAGCTCTGGGACACCCACCCCCTCTCCTGCCTCTTCTCCCTCCTCCCCAGCCCAAGCTGACGCCGCAGGAGAAGCTGAAGCTGAGGATGCAGAAGGCGCTGAACAGGCAGTGTATGTCCTGCCCCGTCCCTCCAGGGTTTCCCAGCTCTTCCTCCCCTTGGCAGTGGGAGCAGGGAGAGCCAGCGCCACCTCAGGAAGCCTGGCCCTTCCCTAGAGAGGCCGCGCAGGCACAGAGGTGCTCAGGTGCTCTGGGAAGGTGTGAGTTGGCATTGGCTCTGCTGCCACTGTGCTGGGGCCTCTACAGTCAGGTTGACCTATCTGAGCTCAGCTTCCTCGTTGTAGAGAGAGGGGCTCTTAAGGGCACCCCTTAGCCACCATGTTTCTTCCTCCCTACAGTCAAGGCGGATAAGAAGGCGGCACAGGAGAAGATGATCCAGCAGGAGCATGAGCGGCAGGTGAAGGGGGGGAAGGGCGGGCTGGGGTGGCGGGCGTGTGCGGGCCTGGCCACGCCCTCATGGCCCTGTCTGCTGCAGGAGCGGGAAGACGAGCTTCGAGCCATGGCCCGCAAGATCCGGATGAAGTAAGTCCTTGCCTTCCCTGTCCTGTGGCCACACCTCCTGCTCCTGGGCTGCCTGGGCTTCCCACCAGAAGCCCTGCCCAGCCCCCTGTGGGTGGATGAAAGGCAGAGCCCTGCCTGGCCCTCGGGGCTGTGCCCAGCCACCTCTCTTGCTCCTCTCCCTCAATTTCCTTCCTCTGTTTTGGCCTGCCTCATTCCATATCGACCTCCTCCCAGCTCCTCCAGCCTCCAAGTGCCAGTCACCTTTGCTGTTCTATTGGCCTGGCAAGCTGTTCCCGATACCCCCTTAGCCACCCGCCGCCATAAGTCTTTCTCCTGTTTGAGCCTCAGTTTGTTCATCTCCTAAGTGGAGATGGAGTCATTGTCCCCCCCCCCCCCCACAGGCTGTTGAGAGGATTTGACATGATCACGGCCAGGCACAGAGAAGGCACCCAGTAGATGCCAAGCCTGGCCACTGTGACAGAGACCATTTCAGCACCCAGTGTGCACAGGTGCTCCCCCAGGCAGGAAATGAGGGGACTGTCCAGCCTCCCCCTGTTCAGCATGGCTTTCCTAGGAAGGGGGCTGGGGTTCCAGTCGGCTCTGCCAGCTGGGGTCCCTCTGAACCTGGGGCTCCCTTTCCAAGCCAGGATTGGTGGCAGTACCAGCCCCGTTGGTTTTACTGTCTTCCTTGGAGTAAGGTGTCGGAAGCGTCTGCCTCCCAGTTCAGTGTGTCCAGTGTTCCCGGCCAGATGCTCACGCCTTGTCTTTGCAGGGAGCGGGAACGCCGAGAGAAGGAGAGAGAAGAGTGGGAGCGCCAGTACAGCCGCCAGAGCCGCTCACCCTCCCCCCGCTACAGTGAGTGTCCCCACCAGGCTGGAGGGCTCTGGGGCTTTAAAGAAAAATGTCAAACGTGGTTACAAAAAAAACGTAGTACATGTTCCACATTAGCCTCCCAGAAATGAAAGCTCTTCAGACATGCACACGTGTACACACACACACAGACACACACACAGTGATTGCTTCAGTCACAGGTGATGACAAGAATTAGAAGAAATGCTTATTCCAGCATAGGCTGGTAAGGGGCACAGATTGCAGCCACTGGACTCTCTGGAAACGCCGTCCCCTCATTTGGAGACAACACCTGACGTTCTTTGAGGACCTCGTCCCAGGTCAGGGAAAAGGCTCTGGCGCTGGACGTTTGCTCAGTCTTCACCTGTTCTTTTCTTTCCAGGTCGAGAATATAGCTCTTCTCGAAGGTAAGGAAGCCCATGACCTTCTACTTCCTGGGGAGGTACACTTGTCCTTTGATGGGAGAGCCTGGGGTCCTGGCTCTTACTCCTCCAGCCTCATCCCGTGCCCACCTCCAGCTGGAGGGGTTGGTCCCATCCTTTGGGGAGCGTCCCTCCCATGGCAGACAAGTCCCCTGATCACAGAAGCCTCCGTGGCCCCAAGTGTGTTGGTGTGGATGCCTCATCCTCACCGTCCCTCCCTTTCTCTTTCCAGGCGCTCAAGGTCCCGATCTCGAAGCCCCCATTACCGACACTAGGCGAAGAGTAGGCGGTGGGGAGGACAAGGGGGTGGGGTGAGGGGCTCAAGCTGTGATGCTGCTGGTTTTATCTCTAGTGAAATAAAGCCAAACATTATTTAATTCCTGTCACCTGCCTCAGGCTCGTCTATGTGGTTGGTGCAGGGCTCTCCCCTGCCAGGGCCCACCAGCCAGCAGAGCCAGCTGGGAGGGCACTTGGGTACAGGCCAGGTGCCAGTGCTGCCTGCGTGGGACATCCTGCCCAGTGGCAGGCCCCTGTTCATCAGAACCTGCCTGCCATGGCTTAGTGAGGCCTGCTCAGGAGGCCAGGGCACAGTCCCAAGGGAGAGGGCCCAGACCTGCCCGCAGGTGTGGACACAGGGTGTCGGCCCAGCATGTCCCACATGGGCCCCTTTGCCCGGGGCCTCTGGCGACAGGTCCAGGCCTCTCCCCACCCTCGCCTCGGCCCCTGCCCTGGCCTCGCCCACACCAGGAACTGGGAGCGCGGCTTTCTGTGCCAGTCCTGCTGCGCCTGAGGCACTGGGGGCTGGCCATTCCCTCACCCCCTCACTCCAAACCGGTCTGTCCAGCCGTCCACCCCAAGGAGGGGAAGCTTCCCGCCCCATCTCAGGCACCCCAAGAAAGCCACAGTCCAAAGGTGTGTAAATAAAAGGGGGAATTTACTTGGAGATGGGGCAGACACAAGGAGGTCAACCGTGCTGCAGTACCAGGGACAGCAGTAGGCTTTCCGGGGCTCAGGCCTCCCCAGCCGCCTCGGGGTGCTTCTGCCGCAGGTGTTTGTCCAGTGTGGCTCGCAGGCCGAAGGGCACACGGCAGTGGGGACACTCGAAGCGGGTGCTGCCAGGCGTCATGCCGTGCATGCGGCGGTGGCGGTTGAGCTTGCTGCTCTGGGCGCAGGCGTAGTTGCAGAGCTCACAGGTGTAGGGGCGCTCCCCGGTGTGCGAGCGCCGGTGCACCGTCAGGTTGCTGCTGTTGGTAAAATGCTTCCCGCAGAACTCGCAGCTGCCCCCGGGCCCACGGCTCTTGCCCGCTGACTTGGGCATCTTTTTGGGTGATGCCTTCTGGCTGTTGGCAGGGTTGATTCTCTGTTCCGTGGTGATGGCTCCCCAGGTGTCTCCACCGGGGCCGGCTTGAGCCCCACTGCCGGGAGCCCCGGGTTCCTGGACACCTGCCGTGGCAGCGGCTCCAGCCCCCTCACCACTGTTGCATGGGAGGGTGCTGGCGGGGGCAGCGGCATGGGCAGCCGGCTCCGGAGGGACCGCAGAGGCCTGCTCTTGGCTGGTGTCGGCCATGAGGGGACTCTGGGGCGTCACCTGGCGGTGGGTCTTCTTGTGGCGGTTGAGCTTGCTGCTCTGGGCGCAGGCGTAGGGACACTGGTCGCACGCATAGGGCCGCTCGCCTGTGTGTGAGCGCATGTGCACCTTGAGGTTGCTGAAGGAGCTGAGGGTCTTCTGGCACACAGGGCAGGTGGGGCTCCGCCGGGTGAGCCCGCTCCCACTTGCTCGGGGGTTCTTGGCCTCAGCTGCTGGCCCCACCACTGCTGACACGGCTGCGGCCACCTCGGCTAGGCCGAGCAGCGGGGCCTCTGGGGCTTCTGATTCTGTTTGGTAGATAGACAGTCCGTGGTCCCACTGGGCATGGCGTAGCAGCTTCCAGGCCACGGTGAACTGTCTGCCGCAGCGCAGGCAGCTCAATGCCTTCAGCTCCTCTCGTTCTGGCAAGAAAAGGAGGCAGAGTGTTAGCGCTGAGGGGTAGGAGTCACAGGGGTTGCAGTTCACAGCTGCCAGCTGGACACCTTCTGTGGGACAGGCACTCCTGCAGGGGCCAAGGACTTGGCAGTAACAAGACACACACACCCTGGAAGGACCAGGAAGCTGATGCTCAGAGGACGGGTGGAAACGAAAAATCTGTGGAGTCGGTGCTGAGTACCTGAGGATTTGTGTTTGAAAACCATTTCTTTTTTTGAGACAGTCTTGCCCTGTTGCCCAGCCTGGAGTGCAGTGGTATGATCTTGGCTGACTGTAACCTCCACCTCCCCAGTTCAAGATTTTCCTGCCTCAGTCTCCTGAGTAGCTGGGATTACAGGAGCCCGCCACCACACCTGGCTAAAAAATTTTTGCATTTTTAGCAGAGACAGGGTTTCACCATGATGGCCAGGCTGGTCTTGAACTCCTGACCTCAGGTGATCCACCTGCCTCAGCCTCCCAAAATGCTGGGATTAC